TACTTAAAAATGGCTTACAATCAATCAATAAATGTGACTTGGGCTATTAACTTTGATTTTAGAACATAAATATTGATGTGCAGATCAACGTTCCTGATACAACAATAAAATAAAATTCAAACAATCCTAGTTTATTCAGTTTTTGTGGCAGCAGAAAAACTTTTGCATCATTGTTTTCAGGCAAAAATCTTGTTTCTAATGATATACAGACTGTCCCAAAAGTCCCGGACCGGTTTAATATTTTCTAAACGACAACAGATAAATCAATAAGATTTGGTACATCAACACCACACCTAAAAAACTACTTTTTTATGGAAATATAAATTTTCTGTCACATCATGGGGACGTCCCGCAAGGAGTCGGAAGGAAATCTTAAATAGAATTATAGGTTGACATGCACATCAAATTATAGGTCTTTACTAGCAGAATATAATGCTGCAAATTTGAACTCAAACGGACAACCAAGTCAAGAATGACAGTGGTTCAAAGATTCATTTAATTTGCATTTGGGGGCACAGCCCTAGGAATCGGAAACAAATTTTTAGTGTAAGCATAGGTCGATATGCACATCAAATTAAAGGTAGATTACAATGCCGTAAATTCAAGCTCAAAAGAACGCCTGAGTAAAAAATGGCAGTCGTTCAAAGATTCAAAATGGCAGGTTCAAGAAATCTTTGAATGGCTGCCAATTTGTAACGGGTGATCCTTTTGAGGCGCGGTTTCCGGCATTGAACTCTGCTAGCTAAGCCCTTTAAACTGATGTGCATATTGATTGACCTATGCTCCTATTTAAGATTTCCTTCTGACTCCTCGTGGGACGTCCCCATGATATGACAGAAAATTGATAGTTCCTTAAAAAAGTAGATTTTTAAGTGTGGTGTTGATGTGCAAAATCTTATTGATTTATCTGTTGTCGTTTAAAAAAATATAAAACCGGTCCGGGACTTTTGGGACAGTCTGTATAAATTACTCTATGTTCATGGGGTCAACTTATTAATTATGCATAAATTCCAAATTAACTATGCACTGCTTCTGTTCGATTGATATTCCTTACAGCAGCAAAAAGAAGGGATTCATTGAGTTGGGAGGGTCGGAGTGGTCACAATCTGCCAAAGTTTTGAAAAGGTTGTTTCTTAACCAACCCCAATCCAGCTCCCTGTTTTTAAAATACCTTTTCCTACAGTTACCTAACAATGTACATGTTCTCTCACTGATTTGAGAAAGCAAAGTGACCAATTCTCTCATCACTCTAAATTACTTTGTCTCACTCACTCCAGATTTGCAACATGAAGGCACGAAATAGTGAGCGCGTAGCATGCAGACAAGGTCTTATGCGCGCGAAATACATTGGTAGCACTGGTTGTAAATCAGCTGGTCAGCTGGTTGTACTGTTGTATCATTAAATGTAATATTAAAAGTTCACTTCTGTGTAAAAAACATGTCACGTTTCTTTACCAATTTATTTGTTTTATGGTAACTGTAGGAAATAGTTATTCGTGCAACTAGTGAGAAAAGTGAGCAATTGACTCACTTGAGAGAAATCCTTACTCACGAGCCGTAGGCGAGTCAGGAATGGTTTCTCGAGTGAGACAATTGTACTTTGCACTCGAGTTGCACATTATACTTTTCCTACAGTTACCATAAAACAAATAAATTGGTGAAGAAACATAACCTAGTTTTACACAGAAGTGAACTTTTAATATAACATTTAATGTGAAGTGACAAATACAACAGTACAACAGCTGACCAGCTGATTTACAGCCAGTGCTGCCAACGTATTTCCCGCGCATACGACGTTGCCTGCATGTTACGCGCTCACTATTTCGTGCCTTCACGTTGCAAATCTGGAGTGAGACAAAGTAATTATAGTGAGACAATGTTAACATTGTCTCACTGATGAGCGAATTGGCCACTTCGCTTTCTCAAATCAGTGAGAGAACATGTACATTGTTAGGTAACTGTAGGAAAAATATAATGTGCAGCTCGAGTGCAAAGTGCAATTGCTCACTAGTTGCACAAATAACTATTTCCAATACTGATGACTTACAATCTACTTTCATAAGGTAAAATGCCACAACACTCAGTTTTATATTTTCAAATTCTGGTCTGTATTTGCAAATAAAAACAAGTAACTTGCACTAGTCACAGACATAAGATCACTGTAATAAATACAACATTCAACTATAAATAGATTATGCTGTAATAGACAGATTTATTAAATTCAAATAATCTTAAATAACAAGAAAATCAACTGGAATATATTTACAGGAATGAAAGACAATAGACAAACAGTAAACAGTTCTTAAGAACTGTGTTAAACAACACAATATATCTCAATCCGATCGAAACACTTAACAAATTCTAGGCATTCACTAAATGTTAAGGACAATCACAGACTTTAAAAGAGATCATTATGAAAATTAATAATCTTACACGAGCAGCACAAAGCACTGCGACTCACACTCAAATATCGGCAACAAGTTCATAAATAAAATTAACAATGTTAACAATCACATTTCAAAGGTAATCGAGACTTACGACTAGAATACTCGGTGCTTTGTATATTTGAATACATGTACATTATATATACGGTAGGCCTCTATGTATGTATCTTATGTACAGTGATGGATATGGAAATTACATTTAGAAAGCTTTAAAACAACTTAACTTAATCTGCCTAAAAGCTATTTATAATATCATATCATACTAAGCATAAAAAAATCAATTTTCTTAAATTCAAGAAATATTTAAAATACTTTGATTACCATAACATATCACATTTTATGTGCCTAGTTTAACAATCTTAAAACTCATGTCAAGTTATATTTAAATATTATATTCCAGTGTAATACTGTGTAATGGAATTATAGATATCAAAATTAATAAAAATCAAAGAGTTATGCTGGCACAGAAATTGTACAAGTTAAAATTAAAAATGTTTAATAATAATACATTTTAATGTACGGTATTAAAAAGCAACAGAATATTTTTAACCTTAGACTAATGTTTTCATGTTTTCCTATATTATTAATTAAATATATATAAAAATGCACCTAATTAAAATTATATTTATTGCTAATACATCTTTGAGGTCAGTAGAATTATTCCACATAATTCAAAATAACATACATGTACAAATAAATTTAGTAAGTGAACATATGAGTTTTTATCCTTATGGTTAACATATTTTTTCATTATTCAAGAATTGGAACAAAATCAGTTCTTTATGCTTTTACGATTCTCCCTCCGGTTATGCCATGTTCATGAACTAAGCCCTACATTGATTGACAAATACTACATCATTGCTTTGTTAAAGTACCTAATGTTTAATAAGTTAATAAGTAAGAGTTAGCAACCATGGGCATCCATCCATATGGGCAAGAAGAAGCTTGAGACCCCCCCCCCCCTTGAGACCCTACTAGGGTAACCATCCAGACTGAGAATTCTGGGTAGTTTGCGTAAATTTATTAAAACGGGAACTATGGAGGGAGTTTGAACTTGCACTGGGAAACCCTGTTTTAGACCGCCGTCATCCGTGGACTTACCGTATATTCATAACCTTCCTAGTTGCAGCAAAATCAAGAACATATTCCGTGGTCACAGGAAGATCGAAAACATCTTCCGTGGTCACGGCATGATAAAAAACATCTTCCGGGGTTATGGGGCATCATTGTTTCCCATGATCACGCATCTTCGTAAACGCTCGCTAGGATCGCGGAACTTTGGATCGCACTCGGTTTGGTTTGACTCGATCCATGGCCCGCTCATCATTTTTTGCTTGTACAGATCCCTCGTGCCAACCATTGGTGCGACCAGACCCAAAAATATTAATATCCCGGACCCGCAGACCCCTAGGACTATGAATTACGACCGGGGAAACCAGTTTTTCTATCGGGTACTGGTCATCTGAAAAAAATTATGGATTTTGTTTTGAAGTTCTGTAAAAAATAAACAATATTTTCTCAGAATGTGGAGTTAAAACAATTCACACTATGTCAGTGGCTGCACTAGTAAGTATTCAAATTTAAAACAATGCAACATAAATTGACAAAGCATGGATTGAAATTGTAATCATTTTTCCTAAAGTACCTCTAAGGGGGATAGCCCAACTCTGCACGGTGGTCAAATTTGAGCAGAAGAAATGTTTTATGGCCCTAAAGGGTCCAGTCCAACTCCTCACGGTGGTCACATCTAATATGTACGCTACCTCGTTATGCTCTCGGATGAAATATGAAGTGTTTAATATCAAATATTCTATATAAGTACCGTGTGTTCCAAAAGTAATGTTACACTTTTCTTTGCTCATAGCTACTTTATTCATGTGACAGGTTAGGTTATAAAATGAAATAAAATATGTTCTTGTCTTTATTTAAATTTTTAAATTAAATTTCAGTATCATTCTTGTTATTCCATGCAAAAAAATTAGTAGGCCTAGTGTAAATAGTTTGATTATCTATAAAAAAATGTTATATATATAACTGATGTGTACCGTATGTATATTTGTATATGTATTTCACATGACATAATTGTATATTTCATGTTTTAGATCTAAGTTGTGACGATTGTCAATGCACTGTATTTTTGTGTTTCAATGACAATAAATATTCTTGATTCTTTTGAATTTTTACAAATTATAGCACTGAGTTAGGTTAGGTTAGGTTATTAGGTATGTTTGACTTCAGAACATATAAATTCAGTCACTCTTTCTCACAAACTTTTTTTAACAACGCGCAGAGTTGTACATGTGCTGCGAGGGATCCGAAGTGACCACCTTGCGGAGTTGTGATAAGCCCGCTCTAAGACTACCTTGTGGAGTTGGAAAGAGCCCCCCCCCCAAAACCACCTCGCAGAGTTGGGATAAGCCACTCATAAGAACACCTCGTGGATTTGGGTTAAACCCCCCTAAGACCACACTTTTTACTGGATTATATTCCATACCCCTAACCCCGGCCACCCCTATAGGAAAGTCAGATGGACACCCACGCCTGCAACCACTGGTCTCATAAAAGCTGATTTACCAATTTAGATTATTCAACTTTCTGATCTAAATATGTATAAGACCCAAAACTATATTTCAGCCCCGTTATACACTCTTAAAACATATACATTTTATTTATAACTGGCAAACCCTGCTATTTAATTTTCCTCATATTCCTTTTATTTAGGCTAGGCCTAAATTTAATTTTCAATACCACAACCAAATTAAATAATCTCATGAAATTGCAGTACCAGTATAAATGAAACTAAGACTTATGAAGTACATAATGGTTTTTTGTATTGACTTCCTGATTACTCCTCTACCCTGATCTCTTTTGCCTGTTTTCAGCGATAAAATTTAAAGTAAAACATTTTTATTTGAGGTCAAAGTTTAAGACCTCCTGAAAACTAACAAAAATGTTTCCATTATATCGCTTTTAAAATACAACAATGAAGAAGAGGGGGAGATACTTTTATATATTTCACGATATTAATTTACTTTATAAACATTTTACTAAAGTGCTAAACATGTCATAGCTTATTTAACTCAAGGCTGTAAGATATGTTTCAGTGAGTTTTACATCATAATGATCTAATCTGATACTATGAAACTACCATATTCAATTTATAAAGAACAATTACTTTCACTTTTTGGTTTGAGTCACGTTTTACTAGAAACTTACAGATGGGTGTCTGTTTAAGCTACTGAGCCCAACTAAATTCACTATTCAAAATGAACCAGTGCCCTTGTTTTGTGAATTGAGTTTGAGATTACAAAAATCCTATTTAAAGAGTAAAAATGTAAGGAAAAAACAACTTGACAGATTAACGATCACACCTTAATCATTGAGACAGTTATAATTATTGAAGGGAACATTTGACACTTTGAGTCTATTCAAAAGTATACCACCATCCTAAAATTTGACCACAGAACTTGCTGGTTTAAACTAAAAAAAATATAGAGTTTTTAAGTTTATCCACTATGTCAAAAATATTGTTTGGTTATTTAATAAAACTATTACTCTATACATTTCGATACAAAATAATATATACTATAGCATAAATTTTTTTTCAGGTGTTGAGTGTGCTGGGTTATGAAATTCAGCTGACATACCATCAAGCTAGGTTACATATGATTAGGTTACATAGTAACTGGCAACTTCAGTGTACATTATAAGCTTTCAAGTTTTTACGACCACATAAGTACACCTTCTTCTGCATCAATTCTTTATAAAGCAGTAAAATCCAAAGACAAGAAAACTATAGCCTATCAAATAATTTTAGCTTATGTTCTGTTTGTATGAAAATTAATTACTACTTAAGGTTTGTATATTTCATCTTCAGTAGCTAACCTAATATTGATATTTGTTTTCAGTAAGGCAATCCAAGAAAACTATTTTAACTAAAAATATAACACTTTCCATTGACAAAATAAATATTGTTTAATTTGCCTACAAGATAAAGTTTGGTAAAATATATATTCAATAATCAGTATTTTAAGACCACTTATGTTAAAATTTAAACCATTTTGACTAAAAAGAATACAGAAAACTCCTTCATGTTTGTTTGAATCTGATTGCTTTGGACTCGCACAAACGATTTACCTTTTCCCTAATTTAGATAAGGGAACAAGTTACACACCGTTTGTCTAGCGCTGTTTGGTATACAATGATGTTTATTGCAGTATCCCTTTTAACATAAAACACAATTCTGTAGTATACTAATTTTGCATCCAATAACTTGTGGCTTCAAATTGCATCCATTTATTTTTCAATTAAACTTAATGGTTTGGATTTATTTCGATTTAGACAACAGTTCAGATTAAATCTGTCCAAATTAAATTAGAGTGATATATCAAAAACTGCTGCAAACAAAATACCTAATTCAGTAGCCTAAAAATTATTAATTAAACTTAAAAAATACAAAACCTGTTGCTGAGTGTTAAACAGCACTTATATGAAGTCAACGAACTTAGTTGAAAATAAATACTTTATTTTCTCTCGGGGTTGTTTTCTGTATCACATCAAGAGCTGAAGTTAAATGTACATATTTTATTTATATATGTAACTAATACAACTACTTAAACATGTGTGTCATGAATTAAAAGTGTGAAGACCAACACTTTGAGGACCATCAGAGATTGCTTTTCTTAGGTTTAAAAAATTAAAACATTATATACAAAGTAAGTGCTGAAATAGAATGTAATTTCCATCCACTTATTTAACTTCAATTAAAACTTCATTGAATCCCATTCAAAAGTCAAATTTTAGAATCAATATCGTTTTTGTTTACTTTTTCACAGTATAAATGTTGTAAATTACCAAGATATATCAAATATATCATAGATTCTTTGGAATTGTTACAGTGTTGTACTGTCTAACCAAACAGAAAAACATTGATTTTCTATTTCTAGTAACCATTTCATAACTTTTGGACTACTGGCATTTGTGCTGGTTACTTTCAACCCATTAACATACTTTATAGAATAATTTCACAATCCAGTGAAACTTTTTGTTATAACCTTAACAGTTTTAATAGCTATGTCAACAGGGAATTAACAAACAACAAGAAACGAGGTTTGTGTATTTACATATTCAATGTAACAATTATAACTCGATTTTAAGTTAACATGTTACTTCCAGTGTATTTACAGTATGTACACAGGTTCAACAAATTAAGTCTGGTCCTCAAAGTGTTTCTAGTGGAGTTGCTGTGATACTGAGCAAGCCAACTAAGATAAGGTGTTCAACTCTGGATACTGAAGTAGACCAGATGTATCAAGCTTTTCAACTCAAAGGAAACACAGTTGAGTGAGTCCCTCTTGGATTGTATTACGACTGTTGTATATTTATTCATACTATATGATAGTTATTGGGGACATAGCTACAATGAGTTAACCTTACAGTTTGTTGAAAACAGAATACCAGGTTTACATCAGCATACTTAACTTTTTTAGATTAACCAGAAAATAGAATGTCTATTTCCTAGTAGTGTACATATAGACAAAGATTACCACCCAAATTAAGTTGGATTATTGATTTTTACTTTGATCTCTAAAACGCACTTAATCTTAGTTGGTTTGACCTGTAACCCTAAGACCTTGTAGAAGTCAGTCTTGTGCAGCCAGTGGCTACATATGTCCAGTTTCTAAGACAAACAGAAACAATTTGTCTACAAATGACATTGCAACACAATGTTTCTGTAGTGCTACCTATTATTGGAAAATGTTTTTGAACTGAGAGAGAAAAAGATCCAGTATGGAAAAACAAAAATAAAATTTGTACAATTTCAAATATACACAATCTACATACTCCTGTAAACTGTTAAACAAAATTTTCTACAATCTACTTCTGAAACATTCTGAAAACTAACCTACACCATAAACTGACGTTAACTGACAGTAACATTTCCATGTTTATCTGAGAAACTGGCAAATCGTCTTCCTCCAGCTAACAACTAAACTAGAACATTTGTGTAACAAACCAGGCAACTTAGTCGTCCCATTTGGGGAACTGCGACGTGGAGACGAACAGTGGATTGCGAGCTTGTACATTGAGAGAGGAACCTGTAGAGGCAGGGGCTGGAGCGGAGGCAGCAGGGGAAGGTTTTGTACTGGAGGGGGCAGCGGGGGCAGGTAGTGTGCCAGGAGGGAGGTTGAATGCGGGGGCTGGGTCCCAAGACTGGACATAGGGATCGGGAGAAGGCTGAGGAGGAGCTGTGTGATGTTGCGGCACCTCCGTCGTCACCGACAACTCTATGTTCTGGGAATCATCCTCGTCCTCAAGTGTACTGTGTTTGATGCCGTAGTAAAAGTAGACACCAAAACCTGTAAATCAATTCTCAGTTTTAAGTTGTATATTTAACGGTTACCTCCCGCTATCTCCGCATCCCGCCACCTCCGTGTACCGCTACCTCCGAATTTCAGAGTGACCCCTATAATCCTCGGTTACTTCCTGCGTTAAGACTTTCCGTCCAAACCTAACCTAACCTAACTTAACCTAAATTAACCTAACCTAACCCACGGGTTAAATTTTCATTAAATCTTCCATCCACGGGGCTTCGCAGCCGTGGATGCAATGACAGTTAACAACGCAGGCAGTGACGGGATTATAAGGGTCACTCAAGAATTCGGAGGTGGCGGGACAGATTTGGGTTCCGAGGTGGCGGAACGCGGAGATAGTGGGAGCACACGTATTTAACATAATCCTGATGGATTTATCATTTTTATGGATCCGCTAAAAACTATTTTCAGAATAGTTTACGCAGAGTTGGTTTCATTCAGGTAAAGTCTTGATTGTACAACCTAAACCGGCAGCAGCAAGGCTGGGTAACATGTAAACCAATGAAGACCTGTTGCAAATGTGTTATAAATAAATTTAAAATGATTAGTCAAGTTTCTCAAACCTAAACTACTACATAGGTTTAAGTCCGTCTCTCTTTGAAACCTCTAACTTTCGCTGTATGGTATCTTTGATAACATTTTGAATAAAAATAGCCAAAAAGAGCTTATTTTAAAACCAACTAAAGTTTATACATGGAAATACAATGCCTCAACTTCATGGTGTTTTAACTATTAACATCATACTAACCTATAACCATCCAAACTGTAAAGCGAACTAGTGTTAGTATCGAAAGCTTGAAGATCAGATATATGTTGACCATGATAGCAATAGCAGGAACAAATGGAAGCCCAGGAGTCATAAACATCAGCGTTTTTCTATGAAAAAGAAAATAATAGTTGAACTTTGCAATTGTCATTAATCATATAGGTTTACCTCATGACTGCCGTGTTCTTGATGAATGTTGATGTGAAGCCCGATGTACATTTTGCCACTCAAGTGGTTTCAGGAACAGAGTTTTGTAATATCATCACTTAAACCACTATTTCTACGCCTGTGCCGTAAATCGTCCGATAACCGGTAATGTAAATAAATAACTTCTTGATTAGCATTGTACGTGTTATTAAATTTACAGAATGTAAATAAAAGAAACGTCTTATGACACTTAAAACATATATTTATGCTTCTACTGTTACTCACAAGACGGTAAATATTAAATATACAAAAAAGATGGCAAGTGGTGATCGATTTCGATTGGACATTCCAATAATCAGACCCAATAGGCGAATGAGTTCATAAATAGCATAGCATTTTTTTGCTTTTAGTGGTGTAAGTGATATAATTGCAAAACTCTGCTCCTAATGATGCCACACTTGTGGCGAAATCCACACCATAAGGTAAACCTACATAATTGTTAATTTGTTCTTAGAAATAAGAATACCACACGTCATGCAGGTATCATCATTAAACATAAATCATCAGTCTGTGAAATTTAATCTTAAACCTTTCTCATACTAACAAAGGTACACCTACACTTTTTACTGAGTAATATAGTTTATGTTTATAGCTTTTAGTTTTAGTACAACCAACTGATACATATCTGCAGAAAAAAGTACAAATAACTTTTTGTTGAAAACAAAACTAAAAACGTTATTTTAAACATTTCTTTTAAGATTGACCCTGTCACATTACAAAGCAACACTTTGCAACTAGGGATATGCATATTTTGATAGATTTGTACAAATGTAATGTAAAATGGAATAAGCACCTTCTCAATCTTCCTTTTCTACTAAACACACCTGTTTTGTGGTTTCCTAGAGATGACTAGCAGTACAGCGATGATGGCAGCCAACAAGATGAGGATGATGTATGTGACAATGCTGGAGTCAGAACCCATCCCCAGCACGATGGTGAGGTCGAAGATGAAGATGAGGATGTAGAGGAGACCGACCATCTTCATGACAAACATACCCGACTCTTCAGTGGCTGGACCTGTGTCCACCCAGGGGAAGATGGCTGGACACAAGTAGGTCGCTGCCTGTGGGCAAAATTGACTATGTAACTTATACTAGACATAGTTAGGAGGTAGAAATCAAGATAAATAAACGGTAGCTCAGGTCCTGAAACCAAAAACTTTTAATATCATTTAATAATTAAGTTTACAGTAGATTTCTCAGGATTAAATACAACCAGTTTAGTCTTTAAATGGTTCGGAAACCTAATTCACCCACTCGACAGTTTTCCTTTCAGCTACAAACTAACAAGTCACATACAATACATGCAGTCTGCTGTGTTTGTTGACTTCAGTATTTAGTGCACTGATATCATTGCTTAGAATAGTACTCTGTAGTACTTTTAGAATAGTTTGCTAAAATTTTGGCTGCTAAATGAGTCTTATTTTCCAAAAATTGGTTATTTTCACATTTTTAGGAATTTTCATTACAGCCATCGTGTAGAGCTTTAAAAAAAATACTTTTCCATACTGAAGTATTATTGTGTATGATTGGTTAGCGATAAATTAAAAAAAAAAACTGAACGTTAGAAATGTTATATTATTCTTACAGAGAAAAAGTAAATTTGTATAGATTGCTTGTTTATGGATGGATTGTGTTCAGATTTGCAAATTGATTTCATATTAGCTAAACTATACGTTTAACATAAAAAAACACAATTTTTCCTTGTCTGTAGCAGCAAACCTATAAGTACTTGTTAAACCTAACACAATTTAAATAGGGAATAAATCTGCTTAATCTGCAGGTTTCCTACAGCAGGGGTGTTTTTAAATTTAACCTCACTATTTTATTTTAAGACAAGTCTAAGCAAGTAAGTTACTTTGTACTCAATATTATTTAGAACTTGGATCCTCTCTTGTGGCTGGTTGAGTGTGAAATCGGTAGCATTGTTTACCTAGTAAAAATAAAATAGGAACTATAGGTATTCTAAAACAAAAACTAATCATCATCTTTTAATGGTAACTAACCGTAGGTAAAACTATTTTCATCACCACTCCTGAGAAGCAAAAACACCAACTGACCTGCAGCCGACGCCCAATGTTGCCCAAGCTTGGTCCGGCCCCTGCAGGTGTGCTGCCACCCCTCACAGTGCCGTAGAACTTGTTCTCACTGCGGTCAGCCACCAAGAACTGGTCATCCCTCATTGACACCTCTTCCGACTCCTCTCCAGGGAACGTGTCGTCTGAGTCAGGGGAACTGGCAAATAAAACATTGTTTACGCATACAACTAAGAATACAGATCTAAGAAAACCCTGTTTCATCCTTTATATCATGAAAAATCCCGTACTATTCTGGCTGAATTAGAAAATGTACTTAAGTGATATAAAGTAGTTGGATTTTATCTGGAAGTGGAAAGTAGTAAAAATGTACGAGATCGGTGCGCGCCTAGCGTAAATGGTTCTCTTAACCTACCACACGATGCGGACGGTCCCGGCGCCAGTAGTAGACTGCCTCAACAGTATTATACTTGTAATGTATTCGTTTATTTATTTGTGTTCGTGTGACAGTTAGGCTACGATTATACTAGGATGCTGGCATGTGGGAGGTTAGTGTGGCATTAAATCAAATAGGGGCGATTAGACTAGGGATGCCAGCGTCGGATGCTAAAAAAGCCACCGGACACTTGATTTTGTGCATCCCAGGATTTTTGTTTCCCGGGATGACCAAAATCAGAAGTGGGGCATTCGTTCAAATGCAGGCGCATTATACTGGGCTGCTAGCATCTGAAACACTCTCTTACGACATGTGCGCACGCTCACAGTTTGACCACGTGAGTCATTTCAGCTGTCTAGTGTACTTCATTCCCTACTGTCTGCACATAGTGTCGTCTGAAGTTATTATTGTGTCTAGTATACCTTTGGGCCTATAGGTGAAGCCTTAGTCTAGAAGATCTTTGAAAGAGGCAGTGACATTCTAAAGTAATAAAAAATCTTGTTTCACCATTGCATCAAACAATGTAAAATACAGGCTTTTAACACGGCGGACAGCTAAAAGAGGGTCTACATTAAACTTTCTTTTTACACGACTCTTTCTTTTCTTAATCAACGACTGGCAAAACCTTGAAATAAAATACTAGTCTGAGAGGCTAGCATCCCAACACAAATCAGGTCATTTTCTGCTATAAGTGGAATGTTAGCATCCCAGACACCAGCACCGCGGATGCCAGCATCATAGTATAATTGTAGCCTTATTTGTGTTTTTTTTCACCCTTACCATGAGGTATTAGGGACAACAAATTTGTAGGTCAATAAACTGATCTCTACAAATTAAGATTACTTGACGAGGTAAACTATACCATCATATTGCCATATAATAAATAATATAGTAATCTAAGGGCCCTCAACATGGAATCTCTTAATTAGTTATGACGGTATCAATAAACTAACACATACTTTCTTCCATTAGCTTATCAAAACATAATAATTCATGTAATTATTACATGTCTCATTTTGTATTTTGTATATATGTATTTTGTATATTAACTGACTATGCTATAACATTACCTGTTTTATGACATTGTCAATAATTTACAAACTTCAAAGGACAATAAACACATTTCATTTCTTTCAAAAACCTTTATAAAGGGTAAAAGGTAGGAGTGACAATGGTATTTTACATATAGGTAAAACTTTAAGAAATTGCAGTAACTTTTGAACTGTAATTTTTACAGCATTGAGGGTTGTTGTACCATTATGTTTAGAAATAAAAGGACCATAATATACTGCATTGATATCTAAATTGTTTGAGTCGTTTTTATAAAAATTAGATTTTTCTGTAAATTAGGTATTTTATGGAGTTTTATGGAAAAATCAGTCACCATTTAACATAAAATTTTCAAAAAAAAGAACAAATAATGCCTGGAGATACTATGAATTAGTACCCCTCAAACATATATTACATATATTATATCCCACAAACATTTGTTAAAATTGGACCACATGTGTACTAAATAATTGGTGTAAATACTTGCATTTATATGATCAATGTGTTGCTAAATAATTGCAACCGGTTTCGACTCACAAAGGAGTCATCGTCAGGCCAGTACAGATGTCTTCTTGCTTCATTCGAAGGTCGTCAATTCATAATAAATAAAAACATTTAACACGCACACGTACACGAACATATAGGGTTAAAAACGAAGGATAATACTACAACGGTAACGGGACACGACGTGATCGGGCGGGGGTTATGTCTAGACTGCCGGTCAGGATCAGCATGAGTGATGACGTCGTGCCTGGATTTCCCGATCAGCTGATAACTTCATTCACAACTGTCCCTTGCGCTAGTATCTCTATTGCAGTGTCGTAAATGTAATTTGATTGAAATGAAATCTTGTCGTTGATGATGTTTTGGCTGTCAAATTTAACGGACCTATAGATTTTGAATTCTACCAAGGTGTTTCTATTAAATCGGTAATTTGAGAGGTGTAGGATTTTCATGTTTATTATCAATATTAGTGTAATTGTGGTTGTGAGAAACCAGATATTCTGCGAAGGTCGAGGTATGTGTAGTTCTTTTCGGTAGATGTTCTTTAAACCTTTTATTGAAAGAACGGGATGTTTGGCCTATATAATATTTTGGGCAGTCATTACAATTGATTTGGTTAACTCCTGTTTTCTCAAAGGTTGCAGAACGTGTCTGGGGACGATTTTTTAATAAAGAACCAAGTTTATTATCAGGTTTGAACGAAACTTTGATTTTATTGCTGTTCATTACATTTTTTAATTTAGTGCTGAGGAATGAACCATACTTCGCAGAAACATGGGTTTTCTTTTCTTTAGTTTCAGTTTTTATTTTATTTTTATGCTTGGAAATCAGTTTGTCCATCAGGTTGCTTTGGAAACCATTGGAAACAGCTATATGTTTGATTGTATTGAGTTCTTCGGTATAATCTATTGCGTTCATTGGTACGGAGAGGATCAGCTGATCGGGAAATCCAGGCACGACGTCATCACTCATGCTGATCCTGACCAGCAGTCTAGACATAAGCCCCGCCCGATCACGTCGTGTCCTGTTACCGTTATAGTATTATCCTTTGTTTTTTACCCTAAATGTTCGTTTCTATGTTTGTGTACGTGTGCGTGTTAAATGTATTTATTTATTATGAATTGACGACCTTAGAATTAAGCAAGAAGACATCTGTACTGGCCTGACGATAACTCCTTTGTGAGTCGAAACTGGTTGCAATTATTTAGCAACAAATTGATCACATAAATGCAGGTATTTACACCAATTATTTAGTATTTAAATGTGATCAGGAGGCTAAAATTCAATACACATGTGTACAGTAGAACCCCTCATATCCATTATACGGCCACCACAGGACTACAATAGCCCGAATAACAATTTGGACAAATGAACCAACCTATCATAAAAATGATCATTAATACCTAATCATAGTGTGTAATCAATAAATACAGTCAAAAGTACTGTTCAAGTCTCTTTTGCAATTATCTTTTAGAAACCTACACATATTTCTAAAACCATCGGACAATTAATTTGTAGATTAAAGTGGTTAAGTAATAACCAATAAACATATTGATTCCAGGTCACAAACAATAATTATTGTTTGTAATATATTAATATATTTAATATAATGCAATATATTAATAAAATATTTAATAATATATTAAATAACTTTGGAGGTAAAAATTACTCACAATAATAAAATGACCTTGAAGATCATAGGTTTTAAATGGTACATAATTTTCTGCTCAACTGCCTTATTCATTTTTATTCTTACGAAATAAAACAATACACTAGCTCCATACTGGAATTAACCCCACTAACCCCGTACCCCAACTGTTCAGAGACTAATTAGTATTGACTATTGGATACTGAAGTAGACATCCCATCTATTTGGACCAGCTGTTGCCAATTTTTTATTAATAAAAGAACGTAGTTGTGTGAGCCAGTCACAGAATGCGCTAGTGTCTAAAATGATATTTTCTACCGTATTTTTGTTTTTGTTACTGACCAAGTTGATAACAGTTGTATGACCAAGGTAATAACGTCATAACAGTTGCTACCTTACCTTACTTTCTTGGCCACTCAACCCTAAGAAGGTTTTTGGCCTCTTAACAGTTACTATAGCTCACAAAAAGTCATTTGATTAGTTTGACTTGTAAAAACTTTAGTGTATTTAACAGGAATTAGTAATTCAGATCAGAAAAATCTGTCGGTGGCTCATATCAACTACAACGATTTTGATTAAAAAACTGTCGACAACTTTAACATGGGGATGGAATGTCTAGTTGTATCAATAGTCAAAGCTGATAGCTCAACTGAGTATTGACACAGTAAAATGTAAATAAAGTGAGAAATAGTGTGAGAATGGTCATGACTAGTGCTTGCAACAACGCATCTGTAAGCTGTGAGAAAACTTTGGCTTCCTGGAAGTGGCCGGATATCACGGGTTCTACTGTAGTCTGCAGCTCTTGTACACTATAACACACTGACAGACACACACAAACAAAATTTTTTTGAAAATCATTTTTTTGGGATCAGGGGGACCCAAAATAGATATTTCTACCTTAAACTCAAACTCCACAATTTTGACAAAATACAATACTTTCTCAATATAATGTATTGTAAGGGGGAGAAAATGTACAATAGGCCTACAACCATTTTTACACATTAGCACACAATGAGGAACTGTTTGGAAGAACTACACTTGTTAAGAGATGTTTACCTCCTAGTAACTCTTCGCACCATGATCCTCTGAGAGCTGGGAGGGCCTGGGATGGGAGGTGGGGGTTGAGTTACACTTCCCAGGGCATTCCTCAGCATATCTGGAGCCAACTGGTTACCATACGTTACCTATAGGTAAATTAAACCAACGTTAAAAGGTTACCTATAAGGGATGTATAACAAAAAAAAGTCACTTACATACAAGCATATGCACAAAACATTAACCGTCACACAAATTGATCCGAAGCTGCAAGCCGATCCTGATACAAATGAAGATGTTAAGCAGTAAGACTGTTGTGACTTGACTTTAACGAAACAGTATTTCTACACTGGGAAAAATGTTTGCAATGTATAATGTGCAAATTATAAAATAATTCAACTGTGCTGATTTCTACAGGTCTGTACAACTGGGCTGAAATAACTTAAATAAGTAAAGTAAATATTTCTGTTTACAAATAAACATTGTGGTTCATTTACCTTATATTCATCCCAGTTCAAATTACTTATGTACCACCACAACCAACGTTTGGACGATGGTCGTAGGTCTAGTGATAAGCAATTTATTTCAACTGGGACAAAAACTAGGTAAATAAACCACAATGTATGTTTCACCACTACGTTGTTTTTAGCCGTTTTACAAACCTTAATTGGAGGCTGAAAGCTACATATAGCTGTTCATGCCAGCTGTCATCGTCATTTGGGGACAAAGCAGGTGTTTGCGGCCCCAGGGCTGAAAATCAGCTGTTCCCTTTTTTACTTAATACATTAAATATGTATATTCAATACACAACCTGTATCTGTGTGTTGCAATAGACTTGTTTTATTGCCACTACTGCTTAAAAGTTGCAGTTGTGTTGACTGTTAGTGTTCATATTGTATATATTTTCTCAATTTTGTATAGTGTGGTGAAAAATAGCGTTCGTACCACGGGCCGAAAGGGTTTTACAGCTCTTGATCGTCGAGTTTTACTCTTAAAATCTCGAGCCGGCAAAACCTCATTTTTGTCACTATAGGTACAAAATATACAATTTTTCTTACCAGTTCAGGGGCAAGCAACATCAATGATTAAATTATGTAAGTTCATATAGTGGTGTTACCTTTCGCCCTTACTTTGAAGTGGCATCCTCCGTGGTTGAGCTGAGACTGTCTGTCATCTGGTTATACCGTCAGTGGCAGCCTCAGCCCAGCCACTGAGGATGCTATGGTTGAAACCTCTGGTAACAGTGGTCAGTGACGACACGGTTGATCCCCAAAAAACACAATCATGCACTGTCATGACACCGGCCACAAAATCCTACATAAGAAGATCGATAAATTGTTGTATCTATACCATTTTTCCATACCTGTCCGTTAGAGAGGTTCTCCTTGGTCGGAGATTGTTTGATCGGTGTCCGTAGAGATTCTGGTAGCAGCTCTATCAGGTTGGTGGAGTGAGGCTGATAGCGAAGGATCAGCACACAAGTAGACACCAGTGTGTAGGCTAACAGTGTACCTGGAGCAAAACACTAGACTAGGACTCTAACATACGATTGTAAAATTGCAGGTTGGTAACAAATACCTATTGATAAACATTGAAAATATTTAAATTTAGTTTTAAGGTGTACAAGTTATCCAGCAACTAGGCAGCAAACAGATGGGCTGAGTTTTTGCTTTACATATAAAATACACTAGCAACTAGCGTCATCTTGTCACTTCAAAATCTGTGATATATTTTAATTAATTTACAATTTTCTATTGCTCTAAGTTAAGTTGAAAATTATCTATATGTGATAATCATTAATTTATCACTGACTTGTAATTATTTCAAGCAAACCCTGAACATAGGTTTGTATTATCATTATGTGCACGATCTCTTCGAGGCATCTTAGGAAAATTACAAATGCCGTCAATGCAAATACTAATGAAACATGCTATAAAATACAAAATCTAACTTAAGTAATTTTCTTCTTTACATTTTAAACAAAATAACATTACAATATTTTACTTGAATTAACTAAAACATCACCGCAACTGTATCGATAACCCCATTTTCGTATGGATGTAAACAGCGTTGTATCATGGCCATCTGTTTTGATGTAAATAAAAATGTAAACTTGAAAAGTTTCAGATTATTGACAACAGAATTCAGCAGAAACTCTGAAATTTTAAAAGCCTATAGGACGAATTGCTTGCACAGGATATAATCCAAACCCACAAAAGGCACATGTAGAGGATAAGAGCTATAAATTGATACCCAATATGCATATGAAATCTAAGTATTTTTAGTATAAGTATCTAAGTATTTTTAGACTTAGGGGTCGATGTGCTGAATACAAAAATCCAACAAATTCTCTTAATACTCTCTAAAGTTTTACGTTGTGACATTTGTGTTATTCTTAAGACCTAAGTACTCTAGAAACTTTGATTACAAATTTAAAACAAAAACACAAATGTATTTCAATTTTCAAGTTTTGGAAACTGATAGATATTTTAGTAATGTAACATTTTAATGCAGTAACTCAAGTTTTTCTTTATTTAATCACAATCATCATATATACAATAACAACTGAACAGAACATATGTAAATTAACAAATATAGTATAAGCCAGTACATTTGGAATGGACACATCAATCCTCCCCCTTAAATTTAGAAGGTAACATGTGGTTGATATGCCGCCTCCATATAGATCCATCATCCATTTCAAGAACGTAAATTAACTGTCCATCCTTGCTCTTTACTTTACCAAACATCCACTTGTTTTTCTTGTCTCTGAAATCATAAGCTTGAACTCTTTCCCCCTTTTTAAAGTCTCTTATTCCCTTTGCAAATTTAAAGTCACTGTTTGAAGGTGTGTTATTTGTTATCATCAAATCTAGTCTCGTTCTCACATTTCTCTGAAACATTAGGAAGTAAGAATTTGATCCAGTGGAGTTTCTTGATTGTCTCATTTGCATCAAGAATCTCTGTAACTTAATTTCCATATCGGTAGCATTTTCCTTTCAGTGACTCAAAATCTGTTACACGAAATGTATTACCAGTACTTATATAAGATCCTGTGTTGTATGATTTGGTTCTAGGTCTATGAATTTGTTCATTGGATGTAATATTATTTCTAGCTTTAAACTTTACTTGATTTATGTCTACGTTTCCACTCTTTTGACATATCAAAGTACTTTCAAATTTTGAAAGTTCCATCGTAGTAGCTGTGTTAAGAATTTCTACAAATTGTTTATGGTCACATTTCTGTAAAAGCTGAGTTTTAATGTCTTTGTCATTAAGTCCACGTATGAGTTGTAGTCGTAAAAGCATGTCTAATACAGATTTTCCACAAGCTTCGCAATTGAATTTGCAATTAGTTGACAACCTTTTTAGTTCTGTAGCAAAGTTTGAAATAGATTCTCCTTCTTCCTGTATTCGACTAATAAATGTGTGTTGTAAAGCCAAAATACTTTTTTTAGGATCTAGAAAGTTGTCAAGCAAGGTCACAAGCTCCCCATACTCTTTATTTATAGGATTGTCTGGTGTACATAGGTCGTATAGTTTCTGATGTAGAAGAGGTGTCAAGGCATGTAAAAGTGTAAAAGTTTTTAACTTAGGATCATTTATACCTTTTAAAGTCATAAAAAGTGTGATATTGGATCATATGTCTAATATTCTATTCTATATTGTCTGGTTAAAAGCATATGGTTTATGTTTTTGTTATGATGTTTGTTTTAGTGTTGAGATGGCAATAAGATAAAAATGTTCTTTCTTTTACTAGTTAGAGCGAATGTTTGTCCAATGATTGATGAAACCTGTAACACCTGTGGAAAGATCGGACACATTTCAAGAGTATGCCTTAGTAAACATAAAAACAGTAAAGGGCAAGTTCATTACACTGAGAATAATGACATTTCTGAAGACAATATCCATGAAATTAATTTACTGTCTGACAAAAAGAGAGGTGACAAATTTCACATTGATATAAAATTGGAAGGTAAAAACGTTACTTTTGAGTTGGATACTGGAGCATCACTTACATCGATTTCATATGAAGACTACAAAAGACTAATTCCTTCCAAAAGACTTTACAAGACTGGTGTAGAGCTGCGCACCTACACAGGGGAGATCATAAAACCTAAGGGGGTAACATACGTAAAATGTGACTATAAGGGACAGTGTTTCATGGGAAAAATCTTTGTCATTAATCAACATGTCGATAGGATTTTTGGGCGTGAATGGATGAGAGAAATAAAACTAGACTGGGGAGAAATAAAATCTATACACATGAATGAAACAAGGAAGCCGGAGCTGGACTCATTACTTGCAAAATATGAAGGTTTATTTGACAAAAACATAGGGTGTATTCCAAACTTTGAAGCAAAACTTAACTTGAAGGACAACTCAAGACCTATATACATAAGGGCCAGACAGGTTCCATATGCCATAAGGACAAAAGTTGAAAATGAACTCAGCCGTCTGGAAACCCAAAAGATTATCACCAAGATAGACAACTCGGAATGGGGAACGCCTATTGTGCCTGTCATAAAACCCAATGGTGACATTCGTATCTGCGCTGATTTTAAAGTTACTTTGAACAAAGTCGTGAAAGACGAGAAATACCCAATTCCGAGGATTGAAGACATTTTTTCTACAATGAGTGGAGGCAAATACTTCTGTTCTCTTGATATAAGCAATGCTTATTTACATATGAAAATGGATGAAGAGAGTAGCAAAATGCAAACACTAAGTACTCATAAAGGGTTGTTCAAAGTAAATAGACTGATGTTTGGGGTTAAGGTTGCTCCTTCCCTGTGGCAAAAATTCATGGATTCCTTACTACAAGGTATGGATGGCGTACAATGTTTTTTCGATGACATTTTAGTCCAGGGGTCAACTTACGAAGAAACTCTTCTGAGATTAGAGAAGGTATTAGAAGTTCTACAGAAGCACAACTTACATTTGAATGGAGACAAATGTAAGTTTTTTTCAAGTTTTTCTTTATTTAATCACAATCATCATATATACAATAACAACTGAACAGAACATATGTAAATTAACAAATATAGTATAAGCCAGTACATTTGGAATGGACACATCAGAAACAATTAAAGTTTATGCATTAAATTCAGACCTTTACAGAAGTAGGTAAGTAAATTAGAAACTAGCTTTAGTAAGATTAAATATGAGGGCCATCCAGACAGTAACAGAGATTTCACTTTTGTGTTGTAGTCTATCAGGGATGTCAGCGCTGCAGCAAGTCTGTTTTCTTTTCTTTTTTTACCACACTGAGGAAAAAATCTGTCGAAACTGTAAATCTAGTTTTTATACGACAATTGACCTAAATTGTGTAAAATTTTGGGAAATTTTTATTGCAATTATTGTGAAATTACGATAATCTTGACTTTTTTCATAGAATTTTCCCACCGTTAGTCTGTCACTAGACTAAGCCTAACTCTATGGTTCTCATTATTGTGAACCTTTTTGCCGTAAACATCACAAATCTGGCAGTAAGTCTGATGGCCTTTGACTTTTGTCAACAAAAGTCCGATCAAAGAGTGCACCTTACAAACTGGCAGGACAGTGCAATGACAGCCCTTATCTCTGGAGAGCCACGGTATAAGCAGCGCTGATGCAAAAAGTCCCTTACTTTTTTAATGGTTCTTGTACACCGCGCTTCATGCCAAAGCACCATGCAGCTAAACAAAAATTTCATCAGGATCCTGGTATGATTTCATACCATGATTACATTCTTAATTGAGGCTGTAGCTGCTAAAGGGGCCTAAGTCGAGATGGACCCTAATAGATGAGATTTTCTATTTCGCTTCCTTATGTCTTCTAGTATAATCTTTGATCACTTGGAATGGTGTATTTCAGTTTTTTTGGTTGGTATGACTCTGAAAGCCAGCTGGTGTCACTAGGCCCCTTTATCATAGACGAGTGCCAACGCTGACAGTAGCCTAACATAACCTAACCAAAGACTTTTGTATCAAACTTTAGAATGGGCCCTTTGAGAGGAGAATCACTATTTTGCTTCCTCATGTCTTCTAGTAAAACCTTTCATAATTTGGAATGGTGTATTTCAGTTTGTTTGGTTAGTATGACTCTTAAAGTCAGCTGTTGTCACTAGGCCCACGCATAGACGAATGCCAACGCAGACAACCAAACATAACGTTCCTCTAAACTTATACAGCGCTTATCTCAAAACATCTGTTTTCGAGATAAGCCCATTTAGCAGCTACAGCCTCAATTACATTCATTAGCAAATAATTCTGCAAAACATAAATGTCCTTATAAAATAACGAGTTTGTTTCGGTCAAACAATAAACTTTAAAGACCTTACAACATTATGCAGCAACTTACCAATAGACATCATCTCCACCAATACCTCCAGTCGTATAATAAGTGCGGCAAAAGCAGCGGCCACTCCAGAACTGAAAGTAGCTATGACTGGAGTCCCAGTGACTGGCAACACTGCTGACAACTGCCTAAAACAGGGGAGCCAACATTAGGACAGAAAAACATTTAAGTAACTCGATTGATCTGCTTAATTCTTACAAACACACATGGAGAGTTTTAATAAACTGTATGATGCATATTCATTTGGCTTGCTTGAAGATACACATTACTTTTATTCAAGCTGTTACTAGTTATTTTTATAAGCTCAACCTTGTGTATCATTGGCACAAAATATGTTTTTGATAAATACAGTATATCATATAAACTTCTTTCTTAAGTTATAATTCAAAAAAACAAATTTTCAAGGATGTCTGTAAATATTAGGATTTCCATCAAGTCCCATTGCGGCCAAGCGAGCTAATTTAAATCTGACAAAGTCGTGTGCTCATCTACTATTAGTCTAGGTGCTAGGTGACTTCCACCTCTATGGGTCAACCCCTGTTGAAATCCATTGCCAGTAAACAGGTGTGTATGCGAAAGGTCATCTTTATTTGGCCAGCAGCGGATGTTCGAATCAGTTTCTATGATCAACAGATACAGACAGATTGTTTCTATGGTAACAATGATCAAAGTTGGAGAACCTCTGCCTACTGATCAGCGTGCAGGGTTTACTTTAGTCCTTGATTGTCTTGTGGAGACATCCTTTACCCAGTGGCGGTTCCAAGGGGGTGGGGCTACAGGGGCTAAAGCCCTCCCCTTGGACCCTGGAAAAATAAATTTAAACATACATTTCGTCCTTTAAACACGCAATGTTATAAAACAGACATCAATGTAGTATTTATTAAACTAAAGCAATGACAGAAGTAGTAATAAGTTCCATATAGATGAACGTTGTGGGGCAATAGCACGACAAATAAAACAATATTACGCTATGAAAAGTTGTACGCATCAACCATAATTTTTACAGCAGTCAGCTTTTGACATACTAGGGTAAAGGCGAGCGCCGAGCGAGGACGGGGAAACAGCTGATTCCATGTTCCTAGTTGTCAAATTGTCTGCTAGCTACTACACAGATATCAGCGGTAGCACAAGTAGCCACACACTAGTGTTCAAGTTTATATTCAATGCTATTACTGAATTTGATACTATACATATTGTGACAGATATATGAAATGGAGAAAAACGTACGGTTAAAAAACGTGTCTACTTGCTTGCATGACATGTAACAGGTGAAATGGGAGGTTTTTGGACAGTTGGATACAGATATAGACATTAATAATGGCTTTAGAAAGTCAGTAAACAGCTTTTAGGAGGATATGGCCTACAGTATGTTTTGAGATTTATGAATGCAATCGTCATAGTTAGTTTTAAAAATCTCTACTTTTTCATGACAAATAAATGGTGAAATGGGAGATTTTGCACACAGTTCTACACGTTAAAAATGGCTTTAGAAATTCACCAAACTGCTTTTATTTAGGATATGGCCGTAGTCTACAGTGTGTTTTGAAATTCACAAATGCAATCGTCATAGTTTCATTTTTTTAATGTCTACTTGCTCATGACAAACAACAGGGGAAATAGGAGTTTATGGACAATTGGGCACAGTTCTTGGTGTTAAAAATTCCTTTAGAAAGTCACCAAACTGCTTTGAAAATTCTAAATTTTTCCGGGGGAGGATACCCGTACTCCGCTCCACACCTCCCAGACCCCGGTAGCCCCCTCCTTGACAAGATCCTAGAACCGCCACACTGCCTCTACCAGTTTATCCATTCACTCCCATCAACTAGCAATGGACTTCAATAGTGGTCGACACCTTAGATTAAAAAATCTAATCACAATTGGTTTACCTTCACATAGTTTTCGGCTACTAAAATGAGACTAACTGTTGCATCAGGGTTAAAATCGTCATTAGCCTACTGGATGAAGGAACTAAAGAACCCAGCATTAGACTCAGGTCTCATAACTACAACAGGAGCTAATCAGTGGCTTCACTTACAGACAATCCTTATATTTTGCCCGGATAGTTTTAACATTGACTATACAACTATTGTTTCAGTATGCAATAGCCAATGGCTTTATGCTGTAGATTGCTCTTAGTTCGATACTTTGTTCAGAGCAGGTGGTAGGGATTTATATCACGGCTGTGAGAAAACAAGGAGATGGGAGGGATGAAAGTAATTTGACAAGTGAAAAATAACAAAATTAGAAGTAATTCATTAATTCAGTAATTCTTAGATACTGTAGTGGCAACTAGTTTCGGTTCTTACTCTGAACCATCATCAGGCCTTTAACGTGTCAAGTAGTCACTTCATTTGAAGGTTTGTAATGGGCCTAAATGGTGAAGGAGGTAATTTATGAAGGTATTGTTATCAGGCTAAGCTAATACTTAAATAAATACTTAAATACTTTTCTATGAAATGGCAACCATACATAGTAGGTATTTTAAGCCAAGTATGGATGGAGATGAGTGAAGGATGAGTGGTGCGATCTACTAAAGAAGACCTCAGTTTACCTGGTGTTGGTAGAGGGAAGGAATAATTTTATTAGTTGATAAAAACAGACTAATACCACAGAACATTAACTTTAATGTTTTTTCGTGATGGCATCATCAATGGTATTCTTGGTTTGTTGGTTACTCTTCACTAAATTAAAATTATACACAATTACTGGTACTAAAAAAATGTGGAGATATATTTTGGGTTTTCATCAAAACCCATCTTCAGCCTCTTAACAACATATCAGGTCTAGACTAGTTGCCACTACCAAGGATTACTACATCTACGTGCTGTAAACCGTTTTAAGTATAATATAGTAATGTGTAGCCATTGACAAGTATAATTAAAAAGAAAAGAATTTCATTCATTGGACATCTTTTAAGGACACCGGAAAATAGAATAAGCAAGAAAATAATTAACAAGTTGTGGAATAGCAAGAGTGACTTTAGGTGGATTACAGAGATTAAGGAGGACATGAGAAGGTTGAAAATATCATTAGAAGATTTGGAAAATAAGTCAGAGGCGCTTGCAGTACTCAAAGACAAAAATATCATCCTGCCAATAGGAGCAAACAATCAGAGACAAGGAAGAGTGGTTTCGGAAGAAGAAAGAAAACAACGGTCGGAAAGAATGAAGAAGTATTGGGCGGACAGGAAGAAGAGACAGAATTTAAACAGAATTTAAAAAGAACCTGACCATTATATTGACTTAAGTGGTCCAATGCTGGCCATAAAAAATAATAATAATAATAGTAATGTGTAGGCTAAACAAATCCTAGCATTTTGTTTTATATTTGAATTACTTGAATATCAGCCCATCCTGTGCCATTGCGTAGACAATCCTGGGCATGGGGAACATAGATCCGAACATGGACACCGTGAGCCCTGCCAGAGCGCCAATGGCCAACACGTACTTGCACTTGTACGCTTGTACCTGGCCAAACATCTCTACGAGGGCAGCATCCGGGTCAACCTGCTCATACGGCACTGGAACATGCAAATAAAGTCAATAAAAGGAACATCTCACAACTATATTCTACATAATGGGCATGTCTAAATAGGGACCTGTATAATCAATTTAAAAAGAAACTTTAACAATCTCCATTGTTTGCAATGGGTTGGTTCCTTTAACTCATTCCAAAGCTGCTCCCATAGTGGATGTGGGGTTGAAATGTAAAGCCAACTTTCCAACTTCAGCGCTCTTTCCAAGAACAAACATAACCCTAACCTTCCAAAGCCACCAGGTAAATAGGGAACACCACAGCCATGGGTGTCAGAGGACACGAGCAGACCAGACTTGGAAAAGGTTTTTAGCTTTAGATTACTCAAAGAGCATTGTTCAATAGTGATTTTAAAAGCTGTTTTTATATATTATAATAATTTAGCTTAAGTACCTTTTGTAAAACTTTATCTCACTATCAAAATTTAGATTTTGTGTAGGTACATAGGTACTTGAAGGATCACAATTAGTCCAGCTGAAGAAAGTCATCGTTTAGCAACACCTAGGGAACTGGTGTATGTTACCATGTGGTCTGCATACTTCTCTGCTACACCATTCATGTGTTAGTCATGGTGCGAACAGAGATCTCTAGCTGTGTAGATGTGTATCACTTTATTGACTGTACAAGTGTACAATAGAGGTGTTCTTACTTAGCCTGCTATTTTGTACACTATTTGTGATGATGCATGAATTCAAAACACGAAAAGCCCAAAAACTAAAAGAAAAACTCAAAAACCTTGAATAAATTCAAAATCAGGAAAAAACTTACATTTTTTAATGATTTGTAACACATTTATTATTTCACATACTAAACCTTGTCACTGCCGGTTCATGTTGAATATTGAGACTCTACTGTATGCATTTCTAGTTTCTATTAAGAGTCATTAGTTTAAACCACTCACCTATAAGAGTCAACATCATGGAACATGTAACGTAAGCTGTCAATATTATTGCTAAGCTTGTGACTATTGCCAAGGGTATGGATTTCTTAGGGTTGTTAGCTTCTTCACCGGTTGTGGCGATTATATCAAACCCGATGAAGGCGTAAAAACATGTTGCAGCTCCTGTGAACACCTGAAAAAAATTATATTTGAGACACCTGTGTTGTATTTTAATCAATCAATTGCTCCTTGAATCCGTCTAAATCTTTATAAATGTTAAAATGCACTTTTTGGTGGAGGCAATGTCATTATCATATAAGAGTTTAATAAAAATTTCACTAATGGAATGCCTTAAAAATCTCAGAATTTTGAAGTTCATTAAATTTACAGGTAGAAGGCTGATTGAATTTAAAAGTATGTTTTTCAATTAGAGTCATTGGGGTTTGTTTGACATCAAAACGTCCAATGACTATCTATACACCTGCCTCACACAAAACAACAAATCGATATTGGAAACACCTTGATTCAATCTGTAACCAATAACTTTTTTTATTTTGTTATAAAGTAACTAAAAATAAGGGATATTGCTTATTTAAATATTGACTTTTTATATAGCTCTATTTAGTCTGATCAACACATTTTTGATGGAAAAATAAGATGATTCTCTAACTATAAGCAACAGATATAATTACTATCAATATGATCAAAGATGTTAATAAATAATTACATTTGAAAAATATCTTTATTACGTTATTAACATTAATTAAATACTAATTCAGACAGTATTAACATGAAGATTCTTTTGTTCTATGCTATGTTACAATTCCTTTGTTGCGAAAGCACAAAGAAAGAAGTTTCATTATCAAGAACCCAGTTCATTAAGGTTTCCCTAAAACCTATTGATGTCTTTGTTTTACGTTTGCCCTTGTAGACATTTTATCACTTCCATTAACAAAATCAGGTTAAATGCAAAGTACATTAAATGGATGTTTTATTTGATTTATTTGCAAAGGAGGTATTTATTCTAACAAACACGGTAACATAAAAATTACAAATAATAATATTCCCCCCCCCCCAGCCTTGTTCTAAAACTATCAACTATTTTAACTTGAGAATATAATTTATTTCATTTTTGAGGTGTTGCCTTCCAAATTACTTAACTACAGCTGTCACAGTTAAGTTTGTAAACACCAGATGTTTTTTTTTATTTTGGACTATGATATGAAGATGGATATGAAAATCTACTGAAACCATGCAACCACAAGCTCAGTTCTGTATTTGCTGATCATCTAATTAATAATAGCATAGACTAACCAACACAAGTAGACTTCTCATCCCATTGTAAATTTTGAAGCACGTTTTTCGTGTCTAGTTCATGTACGTGACACAAAGGCGCTAGTGTCGATGAAACTTTGTTTCCATTATTTTAGGGTTAATTTCTTGATTTGTGCTTTACTGTTTGGTTATATAACTAGGGGACGAGTTATTGTTTATGATTAGATTGTATTATTTGGTTAAACGAGGTTTTAAATGGCTGTAATAACGGGAAACAAATTGTAAACAAAACACAACCTCTACATAAACCGTACATGTACTAACAATAAAATTGTCTTCAGCTGTTCCATAAGGATGAGAAATCTACTAAGGGAGTATGTTTTTGAGCGGAGCGAGCGAAGCGAGCGAAGCGAGCGAAGCTCTTATACTACACTCCTGCTTTTTTATTACAAATACTCCTCCTGAACGGCTGAAGCGATCTGCATGAAATTTAACACAGTCATAGTAACCAACCATGGGAAGGTATAAATCTGAAACGGTACAAATCGGACCATAGGACTTTTCCCTACATGAATGCAAACTTTTGGAAATTTAACATGGGCCTTATGGGTTAATTGGTTGCCATGTCATTATTTGCGAGTAAACACTAAAAAGTAAACAAGAGCCTCAACATTAGTCAACAAATCTACCACATTATAAATACAGTACAAAAGAAAAAATTGGATAATACTAAAGAGCATATTATAGTATATTGTATGTAATACGAAATGATTAACAATCAGTTCTATATTGAGTGATTAAACTCCATGCCGTTTATATTTAATTGTAAAATGGTTCTGTTCTTTTTAACAACAATCCTATACTCTAATACGAGCAATGTTTGCTTGTATGTATGTATGTATGCTTGCACCAAGATCTCAAAAACGGCTCCGACGATTTTGTTCAAATGTTGTAAATAGTTTATTCCTGGCCTAAAAACGAGTTTACTGCAGTTAGAACTGCCAACAAAAATCTAATTTCGTAGAAAAATGAAACTGAAAGTCGAATTTTTTTAACATTAGTCTTATGGGTTGCTAAGTAACCATCTTGGCTGAATTAAATAACAGGGAAAAAGTAAACAAAAGACTTGTAAGTTGCCTATCCACAGTATACTAGCAAAACAAAATACAGTACAAAAGGAAAAACATCAGTTGTTACCATTGAGCAAAGACTATACTGAAGATTACTCGATACATTGTAGTCAAGGGTAGCAGTGTGGAGTCTGGGATCTGTTTATAACGATTAGGTTACGGTATCTGCAATCCTTAAATGCTATGGGAAGGGAAGGAAACAGATCCGCGATGTAGGAAGTGATAAAGGAAGTAGTAAAGGCGAGCAGTCCGGAGTGTGGGAACTGTTTATGACGATTAGATTAAAGTATCTGCAATCCTTAAATGCTATGGGAAGGGAGGCAATAGGTCATAGACGTAGGAAGTGGTGAAGGAAGTAGTAAAGGAAAGCAGAGTGGAGAGTTGGAACTGGAGACCTTTTGTAGCAGTTAGATTAATGTATCTGCAATACTGAAATGCTACGAGAAGGGTTGGAAACATGTCCACGACATAAGAAATGGTGAAAGAAGTAGTAAAGGCTAGCAGTGCGGAGTCTGTTGAATGTTTGTGGAAACTATATTAATTTATCTAAAATACTAAAATGCTATGGAAAGAGATGAAAACAGGTCCACGACGTAGGAAGTAACGCAGTAGTAAAGTTTAGCATCGCAGAGTGTGGGAACCGTGTGTGTCAGTTCCATCCTAAACTGCTATGAGAAGGGAAGGAAACAGGTCCATGACGTAGGAAATGGTGAATGAAGTAGTAAGGCCAGCAGTGCAGAGTGTGGGAACTGTCTGTGGCAATTATGTATCTGCAATTCTAAAATGGTATAGGGAAGGAGGGCAAACAGACGTAGGGAGTGGTGAAGAAGGAAGTAGTAAAGGCGAGCAGTGTGGAGTTTGGGAATGGATATCTCTATCTGCAATAATAAACTGCTTTCAGAGTAAACTAATAATTTGCCCCGAGCAAAGCTCGGTCCCCAGGTACTGAATAGTTAACTAATTAGGCCTAAGTTTATGTTGCTTGGAGAAGGAGAAGATAAAACGAGGTCATTAAAAAAACACTACAACATAATTATACCAACAAAAATCACACCGCCCTTGATTTGCAAGAAACTTTGTAAAAAATGTTCTTGTAGCTAAAAATACAAAATCGTTTAACGAAATAAAATCACAACCACGTGGTTTACAGGTAAGGTTTAAGACTAAATGGTGTAACTTAGACAATAAAATAGTTGTATTGATAAATTTTATTGCACAATAGGGAAATTTTGAAAGTGGTTGACGACAATTTCTTACTAGCCCAGGCAAATTAGACATATGCTCCCCAAAAAATCGTCTAAAGCTGGAAAGTGTTTCAATACCTTTTGGGGGTCCCAAATAAGACTCCTGTGAGTTTGCGACGGATTCTGACGTCTGCTTAAGTTTTGGGAGTCGAAAAACTATGAAAATTTTGCACTTTTTTCAGTTTTTGCTTATAACTCCTAAATAACGAATCCTAAGGAAAATGTTGTCAAAAGATGTCTTTTAGTGCATTACATTCCGCGTCGATTGGTGTTAAATACGTCAAAATCGGCCGAGCCGTTTAGCCGCTGTAGCTTTTCAAAGTTGGGATATTTTTAATAACATGGCCAAAAGGTTGACTATTTCACCAGTTTTCGGCTTAGAACTCCTAAACGACGCATGCTATACAAAAATGCAACTGTAGTTAGTTTGGAAAACACAAAATTCTGCTTATGACGTTTTTTTTTTAATCAATAACGGCAATTGATTGTTACCTACTTTGTATGGTCGCCATTTCATAAAAAAAAGTATTAAAGTTAAAGTTGGGAAATTTTACTAAAATTGGTAAAAACATAGATCCTGTCCTTAAATGGATTATGAATTATTAGATAGTCGTTTGTTCCATGATGGTCATTCAGAGGTTTATCTAATAAGGTGTGATGAGAGTAAGACACCCTATGAAATTTTAAGTCTAATATTTTTGTCTGAGGTTCCGAAAATTCTAGGATTCATATCCCAATAACCCATTATACAGGGTGAGTTTTAATTGTCCCCTCCCCAACTTTTTTCTACATTTTCTCGAATATCAATCCCAGACCACTACCAAACATTGTTGGGTAGTAAGTACTTCATTTTGACAAGGTGGTCATTTCCGGCCGCCATCTTGGATCCGCCATATTGGAAGCAAAATATTTTTTTTAAATGTAAAGGTGGGGTTGTGACCCAATATTTCGAACCAGATTTTTACCCTGATTATAATGCCACAAACTGTTTTTAAAATTTTTGATTCATTCTAAAGTTATGGGGACTTTTTAAAACTTTATTTTTACCCCATTTTACCATTGTGCATGTACAAACTAAGACCATAATCTCAAAATAGTGCTAGATAAAGATAAGTATACACTACCAGTCATTGTCGACCTATTTTCACTTGATTGATTGATTGATTGATTGATTGTAAGAGGGTGGACTCATGGTCCAAGCACGTCAACCGAAGCTTATTGTGCACCTAACTTGCCACTAACTGGGTAAGCCTATGCCTGTGTCCCTAACTAGGTGCAGGAGCTTTTGCCCAATGTTAGCGTCTGGTTCCTCACCTGGCTGCTTTAGACCAAACAGAGCCCTTCTCCTAGCCCGTAGTCCATCGCAGTCCAGAATAATGTGTTTTGCAGTCTCATTGGACTGGTTACAAAGTCGACACTCCTGCTTGTCATTGACAATTCCTAGAGTGTGGAGATGTTTCCTGAAATGGCCGTGTCCAGTGATAAGAGCAAGTACCTGCTTGACCTGCCCTCTCCCCAGCTTTAGCAGCCAGCGAGTGAAGAGG